GTGGAAGTCCCACAAGAGCTACAGCTGCCAGGTCACGCACGAAGGGAGCACCGTGGTGAAGACAGTGGCCCCTGCAGAATGTTCATAGGTTCCCAACCCTCACCCCACTCACGGGGGCCTGGAGCTGCAGGATCCCAGGGGAGGGGTCTCTCCTCCCACCTCAAGGCATCCAGCCCTTCTCCCTGCACTCAATAAACCCTCAATAAATATTCTCATTGACAATCAGAAATCTTGTTTTATCTAGCTTTTTCTTTTCTCACGTATAATTCCTAGCCTTTCCTGCGTTCTCAGTTTGGGATGGAAAGAATCCTGAACCCAGTGGGAAAGTTCCCCCAGGTGAAGGGGTTCTCAGTCTCCTGGGTATCTCTGCAGGTGGGGCCTTCCTCACCCAGACACCCCTTCCCCAGCTCTCCACTGTACCTCTGAGCCACCAACCTTGCCTGGCTGGGACTAGGGGGGTGTCACACTCTCCTAGATTCTGTCTTTCAACAGAGACCTAACCATGCATCACACGGCACTGCTCGCATGCCTTCTGTGTCTGCTCCGGTCTCTGGGCTGAAGAGTTGCTGGTCTGGGACAGGGGATATGTCTGCTCTTTATCAGATGCCAGGTCCCTGACATGGCATCCCTGACCCTGTACGCCAAGCCAGTGACTCCACGGAGCTCTCTGTGTCAGGGGGATCCATGATCCAGAGCTTCATGTTGTCCTGCAAGCATCTGGTGGGATGTAGGTCTTGCAAAACTGGGAAATACCATGGTTCAGCACCAGGATGCAGAACAGTCCTGAGAGGGAAATCAGGAAAAATGAAGGGGTCTCTGAGGAGCCCAGATCCGTGGGCTAGAGGCAGAAGTAAGGGTGAAGAGCACCTATGAGTCAATGTCATGGTCTCACGAGGAACAGAGTTGAAAATCCCCATTCCACACGAGACCATTTAGCAGGAAACGAATCCATACCTGTGCTGCCACCGGAAGAACTGAGAAGGCTTGGACAATGAAACATACAGGTGCATTTCCTAGACTTGACGACGCACGTCATCCAAGAAAACGCAATGAAAAGTTCTCTACTAGGGAAATCATTTCATATGATAAAGCTTAGCTTTCCTAAAGTCACATTTATCCATCTGGAACCTGAAAAAGCCCCATAATGTTCTGCAATATACTAGTATTTCATGGAACTACTTTATGGAACATAAAGTGAGATTTAAGAACAAAGGTGTTACGGCTGTATGATCACATGGCTGTAGGCTCAGGGTCAGGCTCAAGGTCTGAAGGAGGCCATGTCAAATTCATGACGAGAGTTGGAGCTGGGTCAGACTAGGTCAGGGCTATGTGAATGTGGGTGGAGGACTACAGGCAAGGTCAAGACATCCAGGAACACTCAGCTCCCCCAGACCCTCCTGCCCACTGGGACCTTCTCCCTCCCTTGTTCACGGTGGTGGAGCCTTCCTACCCAAACTGCTATGGAGGCCCTGGATGACTGTGCGTTCTTAGTGCCCAGGCAAACTTAGACTCCCTGTCTCTGCCTCCAGCACATCAGGGATGTGGCATCTGCCTTCACCAGAGCTGCCGGGTGGCCCTGACAGGCCAGAGACAGAGCCTACAAAGACAGGAAACTCTGAAGTCACAATGAGACACAGAAAGGGCCCCTTGGTGCTTGATCACAGCCATCTCTCCTCCAAATCCCAGCCTCTGAATTACAAGAAGACTGAAGGGTTCCAGTGGCCACAGTCCTTCTCTAAGCCCATTTCACGAATGAAAAAACTAAGACCACCCAAGGAGGGCCAGATCCACAGCTCTGCTGGGTGCAAAGCCACGGTCTACTTCACGCCCAGCAGCTGTCCAAAGACTGACCTGCGTTATAAGTGTATATTATGAAGAACTTTGAACATACAGATAAGGAGACAGAAAAATAACAATGTCCCATGTTCTCATCGCCCAGTACTCAAAATAAGCAATTCACAGATGATGCCGACCCACCCACAGCAAAATAAATTCGCCCTTGCACAATATTTAGAAAGAAATACCAGACATCAGATCTGTTCACCTGTAAGTAATCCATTACTCTCGTGGAAGGATATGGACCTTAAAATAACTATAATATCATTACCACACCTAAATAGAAATCATCGCTAATTCCCTAATATCGAAACATAAGCAGGGTCTCCTCAAATGCATCACAAACACCAGAAGTCCACTGACTTAGTTACATGTTGGTGCTGTTGTTTATATGAGGAGCAATATGGCATCAAATGGTAATGGGTGCATGTGCCGTCAGGCTGGTTGTCACTGGTGAATATCTCCTCATTTGCTCTAGAGCCTCCCAGCAAGGCAGGAGCTGCAGGAGCTGAGAGCTGTCTGGAGACCTTCCCGTGGTTGGAATACAGCCATGCCTCCTGGAGCAGGAACCTAGGGCTTCCCTTAGCTTTTATTTTCCTGGAAAATGATTCTAGCATGAAGGGGATTAACTTGATTCAGACTGGACATTGCAAATGGCTTCCAAGGACATGGGCTGCTGCCAGCCAAGTCACCCATGTCAGGTTGCCACTCTTGTAGTAATGTTGGGTGCACAGGATGGTCAATAGCTACATCCCTCAGATGGGAAGGAAGGTAGAGGGTTGAGGCTTCAGTTCACCTCCTTCTCATGAGCGCTGCAGAGTGTCTGTGAAAGTCAGGGGTCTACAGCTGGGCTCTGTTCACCCAGGAGTGAGCTGCATGCTCCAGGAAGGAGCCACTTTGCACACAGATGATCCAGGACCCAGCCATCCTTCCAAGGTGAAGAATTCATGTCTTCTCTCATGGTGAATTCTAGGATTCAAGCCATTTAATATTTTTGAAGCCACTGTCATTATATTGAATTGATGATGACAGGCGACCACCAATGATGAATATTTTCCCATGGGAGGTCTCCCCAAGTGGCATCAGACTTTCTCACATGGCTCCAGGGGATTAAATGGCTCCTGATTAGTCAGAGGAAAAGAAGTTCTGTCTTATCATGTCCCTTTCTTATTTGTCTGATGTGTTTTTCCTCCCTCAGGCCTAGGATTCCCTACTGATCTCCCATCCCTTAGTGAGAGGTGGTATTTGGAGACCACATTCAGCAGGCTCCCTCATGTCCCCCATTTGAAAAAGACAGCAGCCACCACCCCAGTTGTCCCACCCAACATGACACCAGATTCAGGGCTGCAGGGGATGCTCCCAGGGTTACCCTAACACATGTGGCTGGCATTTCATATTGGGACCAGCCAGGCCTCACTGACCAGGCCTAGCCAACTAGAACTACTCCAGAAGGTGGGGCTGGAACCCACCAAGGTTCCCAGAACACTGCACTCTTGGGCAACCAGCCTCTCCGTGGGAGGAGGGGGGCACCCTCGGCCCCACCCCATGATGTTACCAAAAGTGGAACCATGGGTTGGTTCAACTTTGCAAAGAAGAGACCACCTATCCCATCTGTGGAAATTCACTCCTTAGCGACACTAATGCCCTCCAATAAATTCAGTCCTGGGCCTGACCGATGGTTGGCACAAAAACCAAATCCAAGATCCCAATGTCCTCCAGATGCCTGGATTTCCAGGGATCCTGCTGCAGGTCACAGGATGTCACCGGTCCTCTTCTCTCTGTGGGTTGAGTGGGGGGGCCATGTGGACTCCCTCATGAGCAGATGCCACCAGGGTCAGTGGCCCCAGCTTCCTCCTTCACAGCTGCACTGGGGGCTGGGGGTAGGGGCATCCCAGGGAGGGTTTTTGTATGAGTCTGTGTCACAGTGTTGGGTATTCGGAGCAGGGACCCGGCTGACCGTCCTAGGTGAGTCTCTTCTCCCCTCTCCTTCCCCACTCTTGGGACAATTTCTGCTGTTTTTCTTTGTTTCTGCATCTTGTCTCAACTTGCGGTCAGGCTTTCTCCCTGGATCCCAGGCCTGAGCAAGGACCTCTGCCCTCCTTGTCAGACCCTTGCCTGCCTCAGCAGGTCACTACGACCCCTTCACCTCTGACCACAGGGGGAGGGGACTGTATAGAAGGACCTCCTAAGCCCCATTTGTCTGTCTCCTCTCTGTCTGTCTGTCTGTCTGGCTGGCTGTCTCTACATCTGCCAGAGGAAGGCTGGGTCTCTAAGCGTTCTTCTGTTCTGGTCTCAGTCTGGATTTTTGTCAGAGCAGTGTTGCTCTTGGGATACTTCAGTTCCATCTCCTGGGGAATCAGGAACAAGGGGTCCGAGGGGGGGACCTCTTGGGAGACTTTAGACGGACCCAGTGCCCTCGGGGCTGCTGCTAAGGAACCCCAGGGCTGGGACCCAGGACCAGAATCCAGACCCAGAGTGAGGTAGGAGGTGGACGGGCTGCCCTGGGTGTCTGGGGGCTGCCAGGGACTGAGCCCTGAGCCAGCCTGAGACTCAGGAAACCCAGTCAGGAGGGAGAAGGGAGAAGCAGACTCTGGACACCAGAAAGCCAGGGAAAGGGTCTCCAAAGGAGAGAATGTGAGGAAAGGGCAGGCTCCTGGGTCTCTTCAGGACATATCCCGCGTCCAGGGGGATCAGAGGGGGCAGAGTACACAGTGGGAAAGCCCCGCTGCAATGACCAGGTAGCCGGGACGTGGGGTGGATGCCAGAAAAGACCCCGTGGAATAAGGGAAACCCCAGGACAGCAGACAGCCTCTCTGAGCCCCAGGCCCTTGCCCCACACACAGGCTGCAGAACTCATATTTGGCTGGAACAGCCTGAGGGACCAAAACGCCCCAGCATCCCACAGAGCAGGGGAGCCAGGCCAGAAAAGTAACCTCAGAGGTCGCTGTGCAGGAGAGACACACAGCTCTCTTCATCTGCTCAGGGGACAGATGCCACCCAGAAGGCTCTGTCAGGATGGCAGGAGAGGGCAGGGTCAGGGTGCTGATGGTCAGATGTCCGTGTGGGAGGCCAAGACCCCGAGAGATCTCAGGACAGGTGATCAGAAGGTGTCTAAGGTGAAACAGCTCCCAGTGCAGATCAGGACATGGTGGAAAACACCCTGACGCCTCTGCACGGCACAGACCCTCGGACGCACAGCCCCGGAACAAGTGCACCCCAACATCTCACCATATACTGAGGTCAGGGGCTCCCCGGGTGGACATCGGGACTCTGACCCCCTGCTCCTCGTTCACCCCGCAGGTCAGCCCAAGGCTGCCCCCTCGGTCACTCTCTTCCCGCCCTCCTCTGAGGAGCTGCAAGCCAACAAGGCCACACTAGTGTGTCTGATCAGTGACTTCTACCCGGGAGCCGTGGAAGTGGCCTGGAAGGCAGATGGCAGCGCTGTCAACGCGGGAGTGGAGACCACCAAACCCTCCAAACAGAGCAACAACAAGTACGCGGCCAGCAGCTACCTGAGCCTGACGTCCGACCAGTGGAAGTCCCACAAGAGCTACAGCTGCCAGGTCACGCACGAAGGGAGCACCGTGGAGAAGACAGTGGCCCCTGCAGAATGTTCATAGGTTCCCAACCCTCACCCCACCCACGGGGGCCTGGAGCTGCAGGATCCCAGGTGAGGGGTCTCTCCTCCCACCCCAAGGCATCCACAGCCCTTCTCCCTGCACTCAATAAACCCTCAATAAATATTCTCATTGACAATCAGAAATCTTGTTTTATCTCGTTTTTTCTTTTCTCACGTATAATTCCTAGCCTTCCCTGGGTTCTCCATTTAGAGTGGAGGGAATTCTGCACCCAGTGGGAAAGTCACCCAACGGAAGAGGCTCACAGCCTCCCCAAGTCATCTTCTCAGAGGATCCTTCCTCTCCCAGTCACCCCTCCCCCAACTCTCCGCCATACCCATGACCCTGGCATCAGCTCAGACCAGTCCAACACCCTCCTCAATTTTACTTTTCAATGAAGACCTGATCACATAGAACCCAGTTTCCAATGTGCCATCTGTCTGGTCATGTGCCTTTGCTAAAGGGTCACTGCTCAGAGACAACGGGCAGTTTGAAGTGAGATCCCACGCCCCCATCATCCCACACCCTACCCAACCTGCCAGGGAACCAGGTGAGCTCCCTGTGCCAGTGGGAACCGTGACCCGGAGCAGAAAGTTGTCCCTGCAGAGTGGGTCCTGAAATGCAGTTCTTGCCCACCTGGGAAGGATGTGGAACCCAGTGAGGACAGAGTGGTGGCCCCGAGTGGGGTATCAGGGAGAAACGAGGAGTGTTCCAGGACCCCTGCTTTGGACTAGAGACGGAAAACCCTTGAGCCCAGGCCAAGATCAGAGCAGGAACGGAGTTGAACTTCCCTGTCCCATCCATGATATCCAGTTAGGAGACCATTTACTAGGTGAGAGGTCCATGGTTGTGCCATCACCAGGGAGACATGAAAAGGCTGGAAAATGGAACCCTTTAGTGTAGTTCTCACTTTCAGAATGCACATTAGCTATGAAAGATGCTAACAAGTCCTGCAGTTGTAAACAGTTTTTTTCTTTTTTTTTTTTTTTTTTTTTTTTTTGAGACGAAGTGTTGCTGTGTGGCCCAGGCTGGAGTTCAGGGGTGTGATCCCGGCTCACTGCAAGTTCCGCCTCCCAGGTTCACGCCATTCTCTTGCCTTAGCCTCCCGAGTAGCTGGAACTACAGGTGCCCACCACCATGCCCCGCTAATTTTTCTATTTTTAGTAGAGACGGGGTTTCACTATGTTAGCCAGGATGGTCTCAATCTCCTGACCTTGTGATTTGCCCTCCTCAGCCTCCCTAAGTGCTGGGATTACAGGTGTGAGCCACTGCGCCGGGCCAACAGTTCATTTTATATAACCTTGCAAGTCAAGAATTCTATTCACTGTCTCAACCAACTTAGCCCTAGGGTGCTCTTCAAGACACTGATAATCGTGTCACTAGTGCTGGGACATGGGCCAAGGCTGAGGCACACAGATGATTCGTTGTGATCAAATGGGTCAGGCTCAGGGTTAACACTTGCCAGGTCAGAAAGAGAGCATAGGGCTGTGATCTCAACCATGAAGAGTCTCAAATTCTAAAGTCAGGGGACACAGTAGAGTTAGATTACGGTTATGGCTGGAGACACGATGGCCAGCCTGTGGGAGGGTAGGACTCAGGTGGACTGGACTGAATGAGAAAGGTACCATCTCAAGCATAGAATGGGCATCACTGGCTATCTGATGGAGGCTGTGTCAAAATCATATTCACCCAAGAATCAGGGCCAGGTCACACAAGGTCAGGGCAGGGTAAGTGTGAATTAAGGGCTACAGGCAGGTCAGGCTTTCATAAGACTCAGCTATCCTAGACCCCACCCCACCAGGGTCCCTCCCTCACTCATGTGACTCAGCCCCTCCATGTGCACCCACAGCCTGATGTCAGAGACACAATCGTCCCAGGGTCCCCGACAGTGGATGAGATGGCCTTGGGAGATGTACTTCCCAGCACTCCTCATCAGTCTTGGGCGCTGTCAGGCCCCTTCTTGGTGCCTCCAGCACATCAGCGACGTGGCGGGTGCCTTCACCAGAGTTGCTGGGTGGTTACGCCAGGCCCGAGACAGAGCCTGCAAGGGCAGGGAACTCTAGGGCCATAGTGGGGCAGAGAAGGGGCTCCTCTTGGAGCCTAATCATAGCCACCCCTGCCCCAAATCACAATCTACAAGTTAGAAAGAAACTTAAGGGTCCTGATTCCCACTACCCTGTCTGGCCCCATTTCATGGATGTGAAAGCTGAGACTCCAACAGCAAAGAGGACCGCATTGCTCTCCACCTTCTCAATGGCCCTGCTGGGTAGGAAGCCAGACTCCCCTCTGGATGTCCCCTGGTACTGTCCCAAAACTAATCTCTCTCATTACTGCCTTGTAAGAAATTATAGGAAACTGACAGTAAGAAAATTTAAAAACATGAGGATAATACAGCTCAAGTTGACCCACCCACAATCAAGTAACCTCTTTTACACAGTTGTTTGCAGCAAATTGTAGACATCATGCCCATTAGTCTAAACATTCCATTTGTGTCTCTAAACATAAGGACCCCCAAAAAACTACATGCTCACAAACCTAAATAGAAATTGTCAATAATTCTTTCATATCAAAAAAAGGATGTTTCCCATCAAATACTTCACAAATGTCCTATGTTTCTTTCACTAGACCTGGGTTTGTGTTGTTATTTTGTGGTTTTGCATTTCATTTCCATGAGGATTCCATACAGTTGGAAATTGTGACTGGTGGCTGTGTTTTTAGACCTGTTCCGTCTGCAGGTATCTTCCTAGTTGATTTTTAATTTCCTTGCAAGGCAGGAGCTACAGGAGCTGAGGGCTGGTCCTAGGACCTTCCCACGGTCAGGATGCAGCCTGCTACCTCCCCAAGCTGGAACCAAGCGCTCCTCTCTGCTTCTGTGTTTCCTGAAAACGGGTTCTTGGACAGAAAGTTTTAACAAGGCTCAGTGTGACTTTTCAGCAAGACCGCTTGGCTAGTGGGCTCCCATATGGGGTCATCTATTTGTGACGTTAGCTGGGCTTTGCACTTAGTATCCAGTGCCATTAGATGGTATACAGATGCAAGGTGACCGCACTTCAGTTCGACCACCTTTTCCTTCCACTGAGCGTGTGCCCTCATATGTTCTGTGCTCCTCTGGGAGTACGATTCTTATTTCAGTAAGAAATAGCATAGACATGTTGCGTCTTTCCTTTCATTTAGCATCTTAATAATGATGACCGTGTTGCCTGCCATCCTGTGAAGATGAACGATTATTTCATGGTGAGCTCAGTTTTGTTACTGTGTATGACTCACTTGAGTCCACCACAGTTCTGTTTTATTGATGATGACAATGACCCACCATGGCCCACTGGATGCCTCTTCTGGTGGCCCCAGGATCCTCCTGAAAGAACCCAGTAGATCTCGACAGCTTTCTGCTCTCTGTTCACAATCTGTCCTGGGCACATCTTTCTCCTGCCTTTGTGTCTGGAATTGCCCATTAATCTCAAGTGGACTGGTCCCCATAAGTGGGAGGTGGGATTTAGTGACCACACTTGGGGTGCTACTCACATAGCCCTTTTGAGTCAGAAACTCCAGACATACCCAAAAATGAGACGAGACCCTGAAAGGGTAACAGGGGCTTGCTTGCGACTTCTCCCTGGAGGTTGAGGCTGGCATTTCATACTAGAACCTAGCGAGCCCATCCCAAACTAAGACAACACCAGGACAATAGAAGTGAGACCCCTGGAGATGTGGTTGTGGTCACACTGGAGCTTCCCATGACTGCTGGCTGTGAGGCAAGCTGCCCCTCCTCTAAAGCACTCACTGGGGACACTTGAGGATGCCTCCAGCTCTTACCCTGCAGTCACACCAAGAGATCAGGGTTACAGCCCTTTAAGTATAGACAATCCCTGTCCCTTTCCGTGTCACTTCACTCCTTCATGAAGCAAATGCCCTCCAAAGAGCTCATTCCCATTCCTGGGTCACAGTCACATGGAAAACCTGATCCAGACACCAACTTCCTCAGGTCTCTCCATTTCCAGACATCCCGTTATTGCATACACGGGGTTGACCGTCCCATCTCAGCTCCAGAAGGGGAGGCAGGTGTGTGGACTCTGCTGAGCAAATGCCCGCCAGGGGCAGCGGTCTGGCTTCCTGCATCATAGCTTCAGGTGGGGGATGGGGAGGGGGAGTTGGGGGCCCCAGGGAAGAGTTTTTGTATGAACCCGTGTCATGGCATTTGGTATTCTGTGGAGGGACCCAGCTGACCATTTTAGATGAATGTCTTCTTCCCTTTCCTTCCCTGCTCTCGCCAAGTTGGTGACAATTTTATTCTGATTTCAATCTTTGTCTGTGACTTGCCACAGCCTGTGGTCAGGGTTTCCTTTAGAACCTCAGTCCTGGGAGGCTAATCTCTCCCCTCCCTATTCAGAACTCCTGTATGCCTCAGCTGGTCACTGAGACATCTTCATCTCCTCTGACCCCAGAGGCAGGGAGTTCCAAGACAAGACCACACTGGTATGTCTCATGAGTGACTTCTACCTGAGAGCCATGACAGTGGCCTGGAAGGTAGATGACATCTCCATCACCCAGTGTGTGGAGACCACCACGCCCTCCAAACAGAGCAACAAGGCTACCTGAGCCTGGTACCAGACAGTAGAAGTCCCACAACCTCTACAGCTGCCAGGTCACGCAGGAAGGGAACACTGTGGAGAAGACAGTGGCCCCTGCAGCATGTTCTTAGGTATCCGACCCTCACCTACCCACGGGGTCCTAGACCTGCGGGATCACGGTATGTGTCTCCCCCCTCCCACCCCAAGTCATCCAGCCCTTCTCCCTGCACTCCCCAAATCCCTCAATAAATATCCTCATTGTCAACAAGAAACCCTGCTCCCTCTCTTCGTTTCTTATCTAATATTTAATTTGCAACCTCCTTGAATTCTCAGTGGGGATGAGGAAAATCCTGGTGCCCAGTTTATTGGGTGAGAAGTCCATGGTGGTGCCATCACCAGGAACTTGTGGAAAGGAACTGGGAATGGAAACTCACAGGTGGATTTCACAGATTTTCACAACACAGGTTGGCTAAGCAAAGACACTGACAAGCCCTGCAACAGGGAAACAGGAAGTCCAGAATCCTGCTCAACGTCCCAGTCAACTCAGTGAGCCCTAGTATGCTCTGCAAGATACTGGTGTTCATGTCACGAGCTCTGGAACCTGGGGTGAGACTGGGGCACACAGGTGACCAGTTGTGATCAAATGGGCTTAGAGGTTCAAAGTTAACCAGCACGTGGCTGAGATCTCAACCATGAAGTTCCCAATTCTAAAGTCAGGCTCTAGGGTGGAGTGAGTGTGTGCTTGGTGTGTGGCTGAGCCTGCGATGCTCAGCTTGTGTGAGGGGAGGACTCCGGTGGACTGAGACAAATGAGCAAAGACACTGTCCCAGGCACAGAATGGGCATCCCATGGTTGTCGGGGAGAGTCTGTGTCAGAGTCTCATTCTGGACGAGAATCAAGGCTGGGTCACGCAAGGTCAGCACAGGGTGGGCGTGACCTTGGGGTATAGGCAAAGTCAGGCTTCCACGGGACCTCAACTGCCCCAAACACCCTCATACCACCAGGCCCCACTCCCTCCGTCACTCACGTTGTTCTGTCGTCCCCTCGCCCCCTGCACCATGGTGCAGGTGCAGCCTCACTCAGAGACACCCTCATCCCAGGGTCCCTGACAGTGGGCAATTTGGTCCCTTGAAGGCCTTGACTGCCTCGGTGAATCCATAGTGACCGGACTGGGACCCCACTGTCTCTGGTTCATCAGGGACATGGCAGCAGCTGCTGGGTGGCCAGCCAGGGCAAGCGCAGAGCTGCAAGGCCTGGGGACATTTTCCACAATGATGCAGAAAGAGAGGGGCCCCTTTGGAGCTCAATTGCAGCCACCCCTGCCCCAAATCACAGCCGTGAGCCGAACTGAATTTCAGGCACCCAGAGTTCCTCCGCCTCTGTGTGACCCATTTCACAGCTATGAAAATTCAAGCCCATGGGAGACACGGTCCCAAGCTTCACCCTCTCTATAAGTTGTTGTACGTTTTTATGATGAACACCTCTGAACACAAAAATAGGGTTACAGAAGAATAGTAATGACTCCAAGGTTCCCCTCACCCGGTCCCCAGCATCATCCATTTTCAGATAATGCGGACCCACCCACAGTAGAATAACTAAACTACTCCCTCAGGCAAGGGCGTGAAGCAAATGCTAGTCATCACACACTTAACTGGAGAGAATTCAAGGATTTCTTGACATCAAAATTAGTTAATGAGGGTCTCATCAAATGTCTTGTGAATATCATATGTGGTGCTGCTGCATATTCATAGTTTTAATTTCATTTCTATATGGATTAAATACTTGATGTTATCACTGGTGAATGTGTTTTTAGGCCCATCCCATCCGCAGGTGTCTCCCAAATGCCTCTGGCTTTCCCTGGCAAGGCAGGAGCTGCAGGAGCAGTGAGCTGGTCCCACAGTCCGGATGCAGCCGCCGCCTCCCTGAGAGGAATCCAGTGCTTCCCTCAACCTCTCTTTTCCTAAAAAATGGTTCTAGCATCAAAAGACTCAAGGGGGTTCAGGCTGGACATTGGCATAATCCCTTCCCAGGACATGTGGCTACTTCCGGAAAAGCCACCCATGTTGTGTTGTCATTCCTTTAGTGATATCAGCTGCATTTGATGATCAATAACTTTGTGCCTCAGATGAGAAGGAAGGCAGAGGGCTGAGGCTTCAGTTCACCTCCTCCTCATGAGGGCTTCCTGAAGGGAGGGCCCAGCAGCTGCACTGTGCACTCGGGAGTGTGCTTCATGCTTTGGGAAAAAGAAAAAATGTACATTCTTCCCTTTTGTTCAACACTTTGATAACTGATGATCTGATGCCTAGACATCCTTCAGGGCAAACCGCTGGTGTGCATGTGAGGACATCTGACATGTGGGTTCCACTGTGGTTATATTGAATTGGCAATGACAATGCAGCTACAAAACATGAACACTTACCCACTGGGCACCTCCTCAGGTGGCATCTGATTTTCTCCCATTACCCCAGGAGCTTCCGTGGCTCCTGGTTTCTCAGAGGATGAGAGGTTCTGTCTCATCATGTCCCTTTCCTGCCTCAGGCCTGGGATACCGCACTGACCTCACGTCCCTTCGCGGAAGGTGATATTTGGAGACCACACTCGGGAGCTCCTTTATGTCCCCCTTATTTCAATAACACAATGACAGCCACTGCCCCACCTCACCCACCAATATCAGAACAGATTGAGGGGTGCAAGAGATCCTTCCATTTCACCCTGGACCTGGAGGATGGGGCTGGCATTTCCAGTGGGGACCAGCCAGGCCTCACTGGCCAGGCCCATCCCAACTAGGACAAGCCCAGGGAAGGTGGGGCTGAGACTCCTGGAGTCACAGCTACGTTCATGGGAAGGTTCCCAGGACACCGCACTCTAGGGTAACCTGCTTCTCCCTGGAGGGAGAGGGTACTCTCTGCATCACCCAGGGTGTCACCAAGTAGTCAGTGTTCAGTCAGCTCCACCAGGGAGACCATTTTTCCCTGACCACAGAAGTTCACTCCTAGTGACATAATGCCCTCCAATAAACTCATCCCCATGGCTACATGATGGTTGCTGGGAAAACCAAATCCATTGTCCTCCAGGAACCAGGATTTCTAGGGATCCTGCTGCTGGTCACAGGATGTCACCTGTCAACCTCTCTCTGTGGGGATGAGTGTGGCAGCTGTGTGAACTCCCTCATCAGCAGATGCCACCAGGAGCAGTGGCCCCAGCTTCCTCCATCACAGCTGCAGCAGGGGTTGGGGGTAGGGGTGTCCAGGGAAGGTTTTTGTATAGGTCTGTGTCACAGCATTGGGTGTTCGGTGAGGGGACGAAGCTGACCATCCTAGGTGAGTCTCTTCCCCCTCCTTCCCTGCTCTCCCTAAAGTACTGAGAAATTTTCTGCTGCTTTTGTTCTTTTCTGTATCTTTTGTTGACTTGTGGTGAAGCTTTCGCTCTGGAGCCTAGGTCCTGGTCAAGGATCTCGCCCCTCCCTGTTCAGACCCTTGCCTCAGTGGGTCACCAAGACCCCTTCACCTCTGGCCTCAGAGGTAGGGCACTAGACTGGATGAGCTACTGAAACTCATTCGTCTGTCTGTCTGCCAGAGCCAGGCTGCTTCCCTAAAACTTGCTCAGTTCTGTCCTCCCCCTGCCTGGGCTTCTAACTGCCTACCGAGCTTTGTGCAAGGGAAACTGAGGTCCCATCTCATGGGGGAGAGGGAACAAGGGGCTTGAAGAAGTGACCATCTGGGAGACTTTAGAAGGACCTGAAACCCTCAAAGCCAAGATTGGGAAATGGAAAATCAGAGTCTCAGGGCCCAGTCCCCTGGACTGTGGGACTCCGGATCCAGGCTGGCAAAAAGGTAGGAGGTGCAGGGACCTCTCCAGGTTTCTGTGGGCTCCCAAGGAGAGAGCCCTGAGCTGGCCTGGGACCCCTGAAGCCCTGTCAGGAGGGAGGGAAAGGCTCTGGACATGAAGGAGCCAGGCGAAGGGTCATGAAAGGCCACGGCATTCTGGGAGGTGGCTGTTGGGTCTCTATGGGAGGCACCCCTAGAAGCAGGAACCACTGAGTTCACTGACAGGCAGATCCCAAGGCACAAAAACTGTAGATTGACCCTAAACACAGAGAGATTCTAACACAGACTCCACAGAAAAAGAGTCCAGAACAGACAGACAGTGGGACTTGGGTGAGTAAGGGCCCTGACTCCACTGCAGAGGCTGCAGGAGATGTGGGTACAAACAGAGCCCTTAGGTGAGAGACCCACTCTCCCCTAACCCCGAGCAGCTATGTGAGAAAAGTTTCCACACTGAATCTGACAGGAGGCTCACAGAGCTCAGAGAACACAGCCAGAGCCGGACCACATCAGGATGACAGGGTGAGGCAGGGCCAGGAAACTGAAGGTCCACTGTCTGTACAAAAGCCCAAGTCCTAGGAAGGTTTCCAAGCAGGCGATGAGCAGGGGTCAAGCTCAGAGGTTTTCTGACTCACCGAATTATTTTAGAAACATCATGTCACACCCTTCTGAGACACTGTGGACCACATCTGAGAGGTCCTGCACTGGCACTGGGGGGCCTGAACACCCCTCACACACTGATGTCAGGGGCTCCCCAGGTGGACACCAGGACTCTGACCCCCTGCCCCCTATCCATTCGGCAGGTCAGCCCAAGGCCACCCCCTTGGTCACTCTGTTCCCACCCTCCTCTGAGGAGCTCCAAGCCAACAAGGTCACACTGGTGTGTCTCATAAATGCCTTCTACCCAGGAGCCGTGACAGTGGCCTGGAAGGCAGATGGCACCCCAGTCACCAAGGGCGTGGAGACAACCAAACCCCCCAAATGGAGCAACAAGTATGCGGCCAGCAGCTACCTAAGCCTGATGCCTGAGCAGTGAAAGTCCCACAGAAGCTACCGCTGCCAGGTCACACACGAAGGGAGCACCGTGGAGAAGACAGTGGCCTATGCAGAATGTTCTTAGGCCCCCGACCCTCACCCCACCCACAGGGGCCTGGAGTTGCAGGATCCCAGGGCAGAGGTGTTCCCTCCCACCCCAAGTCATCCAGTCCTTCTGCCAACACCCAATAAACCCTCAATAAATATTCTCCTTGTCAATCAGAAAACATGCTGTCTGCTCATTTTTGTTTATCCACTTTCCATCCTAAATTTGACTATCTCCAACCAAAGGTGAACAGAGTCCTTTGAACTTGTGACAATGCTCCCTGGGAGCATCCTGATGTTTCTCTGAGTCATACTTTTTCCATCACCCCATCCCCAGAGAATGTTCCAGAATAAGGAAATAATCTTCAGAAGGACCCAGGCATCTTCATTCTTACCCATGTCTCCACTGTGCTTCCTGCTGCCCTGTGAGCACATCCAACTCTGGCTGACCGGGGACACACCCTCCTTACATCCCTACGGCCTGGGAGAATATCTCAGCTCCCTTCCTAATTGCCCTTGGCCCTCACTGTCCAGATGCCATCCCTCTTTCAAGGTGTTTGTACATCCCCCTCCAAGGCCATGTGGTCACCCCACCTGTATTCTTCATCAAAGCGTAGAGCATCTCCCCTTCTCCATGGGCACACTCTGTTCCCGTCATCCCAGGGACCCTACAAAACCCCTTGTAACAATCACTGATGGGATGCTTACTCCCTCGACCCTAGTCACTCACCCCACATCCCCCTCTGGGTGCCTCTCACCCCAGGTGTCACTGGATGTCCCAGCTGTATTCAACATTCATAGGAGACAAGCGTCAGCTCTGCTCCTCACTGACGCCACTATGAAAGTCTAATGCCCTGCTGTGCACAAGCGGTCAAATGACTGATGAGTTCAAAGTCAAGAGTCAGATTCTGGGGTTATGCCAGGAGCTTGGGTGAAGCTGATTTGTCTTCTGAAGAACTCAACATGGGATCTGAGCTATAATACGCACACACGTGCACTCGCACACCATGCACACAAACATACATGTTCATGTTAGGCATCTTTCTGGAAGGATTAGGAAGGGCCCAGGTAGAAGGGGCTGCAGTCAGGCCCAGGTCAGGACATGAGCAAAGCAAATCTGGGACCTGTAGTCTCCAGGCTTTGGGACTAGGGGGTCACCCCTGGATATGGGAGGCTGGGGCAGGGTTTTCTGTCCAGGCCAAGGGTAAGACAGAAGATGTGGACGAAATTCTGATCAGGGATCAGCAGGCCACATCTCAGCAGTCAGGGGAGGTGCTTGCTGTGGGGAATACTGTTGGGAGACTGCAGGGTGCCAGGTGTGTGTCCTAGGTGTGAGCTCTTCAGGTCATCAATGGGCCCAGACCAGGATGCAGGTCCAGGCTGTGTATGTCCAGGCCCCGCACTGCACATGTCCATCCACTGTGGGTGCCCCCCGTGCTGGTGACACTCCTGAGCACAGGCAGTGTAGGTCACCCGTGCATATAAGGGACTGCACAGCACACACATGTGGCAGTGTGTGTAAGCCGAGGGAGCTGAAGGGGACGCAGAGACCCCACACACCTAGAGCTCCTGGAGGAAACCACACTGCCAGTGAGGCCTATGACCTCCCTTGAGGAGCTCTCCTCTGGGCCATTGCAGCTCTCATCCAGCACACACAGCCCGTAGGTAGGAAGCTGTCCCCATGGGCTCAGGAGGGGGACCTGGGCAGTGACCTGTGAGCTGCTCCTTCAGAACAGCTGGGCCAAGGATGCTGGAGTTCAGGCCTTACAGTGGGGTCTGTGTCCCTATGGTCAACGTCATTCTCCCCACAACCCCCATTCCCGATTCCAAGCCTATCCCACCATGACCTCCAGTGCTGAGGATGTGGGGGGCATCAAGGACCCTCCCTACCATTCCCAACTTCTCAAAGGGGTCCCAGATGCACCATGTCAGTGGTATCACCCAGCCGCTCACCTCCTCCTCCTCCCTGGCATTCCTGACACCATCTGATCCAAGCCACCCAACTCCCCCTCAGAAATGCAATTACCTGGGAGACAATTCCACACAGACCTGTCAACCCTTCCCATGACTTGGGTGGATGAACTCCCACGCCCCCAAGGAAGTGATATTCGGGTCAGTAGAAGGTGACCCCTTCACCCCACCTGTGGCTCACCCACCCATGAGAAAAAGGGGCTGGACCCTGCATCTTGTGAGCAGCTGCAGGGTTGCAGGGGGGTTGGGTCGGGTGTATTAGGAGGGTTTGTGTGCAGGGTTATATCACAGTGTAATGTGTTCGGAGGTGGCACCAAGTTGACCGTCCTCGGTGAGTCCCCTTTTCTATTCTTTTGGGTCTAGGGTGAGATCTGGGGAGACTTTCCTCACCTTTCTGTTCTCTCTAGGGCAGGGGTCTCAATCTCTCTGGGGTCTGCCACCATTGCCTTTTTTCCTGGCTCTAAACTCCTCCAGCCTGTCTCTTCTTAGGCACTTGGTGGGGCATGATGGGAAGATCCCAGTGGCCTCTTTCCTGCTCCCTGCTGAGGCCTGAACCTGCCGCTGTCACTTACAGGGCATTCTCCCCTGGGCTCTGGGATGTTCTGCTCCCTCACATGGAGGCTCCAGGCCCCAAAGACCAGCAGAGCAGGGGCTCTGGCTAGGGCACCAGGGCCGTGGGACAGGGGGAGGATGCTGGAAACAGTTCAGCTCCCTAGGGTTCTAGGTCCCAACAATGGGGCTGCTTTAAAAATCAAGAAGGGACATCTTTGACTGGGGACTTGGGGAAATGAAGGGGTACAAGGATGGAGAAAGAATGTCCTGTGAGGTGGCCCCAGGGTGCTGGGTCCCTCCTCCCCCAGGACAGACAGGCTGCCACGGACAGGGTGCTTCTCAGGATATTCAGGCCAAGGTTAGAACCTTCCCATCCTACCGAAAAGGAGAGACCCCAAAGCAGATGCTGAGGGAGGCACTCCTGGTGGGCACAGGTGACAGGGACCAGTCAGGACAGACAGATGTCCTAGCACAGCCAGATCTCCCAATATGACAAGGAGACCCCATAGAGCAGACACAGCACTAGGCTCAGAACAGAAAGTATACTTCACATGAAATCCGTCCATCTCCTGGACTCCCAGGGAGCCAGCTCCTGGGACTGACACCCCGTCCCCACCGAGGGGCCCCTGTGGGAAAGTGGGGCAGAGACCGCAATGATGGTGCCAGGGGGACAAATGGGAAAGAAACTCACTCATCAAAAGGGAGGAGTACCTAAAAACAGGACACAGATGCCCTCGTGAATAGACCCAGACGAGGGACCTGGCAGGGGATGTTCAGACAGAGACGTCCCCCAAAGAAAGATGAGGGCCCATGGTTGAACCCAACCAGCGTCAGGGAGCACAGGTGAAGTGAGAGCTGGGTGATAAGGAGGGGAAAATCTGAAGATGAGGCTGGAGCAAAAGAGGCCTGATACTCCTCAGTCCTCAGACGCTGAGGAATTTCCCATCAGGAGGTGCGAGTCCCCACCACTGCCAAGTTGACCTCAGTACAGCAAGACCCGGCCTAAGGTCCCTATCCTTAGTCCTTCATCCACCTGAAAACTGAGGTCAGGGGCTCCCCGGGTGGACACGGGGACTCTGACACCCCTCCCCCTCATCCACCCCGCAGGTCAGCCCAAGGCTGCCCCCTCGGTCACTCTCTTCCCGCCCTCCTCTGAGGAGCTGCAAGCCAACAAGGCCACACTAGTGTGTCTGATCAGTGACTTCTACCCGGGAGCCGTGGAAGTGGCCTGGAAGGCAGATGGCAGCGCTGTCAACGCGGGAGTGGAGACCACCAAACCCTCCAAACAGAGCAACAACAAGTACGCGGCCAGCAGCTACCTGAGCCTGACGTCCGACCAGTGGAAGTCCCACAAGAGCTACAGCTGCCAGGTCACGCACGAAGGGAGCACCGTGGAGAAGACAGTGGCCCCTGCAGAATGTTCATAGGTTCCCACCCCTCACCCCATCCACGGGGGCCTGGAGCTGCAGGATCCCAGGAGAGGGGTCTCTCCTCCCACCTCAAGGCATCCAGCCCTTCTCCCTGCACTCAAGAAACCTTCAATAAATATCTTCAGTCAACCAAAAACCTTGGGTTTTGTGTTTTGTTTCTGTTTATACATTTTCTACCCTAAATTGGTCCAACCTGCAAGATGAACAAAATTATTTCAGACTTGTGAGAATGGAGTCTGGATTGTTTCTGAGAGGTAGTTCCACCATCACCTAGAAAGGCCCAGAGAATATTCCAGAACACAGCCCTAAGAAGCAGATCCCAGGACTGCCCCTCTTTCCTATATGTGTTGTGCTTGTGTGGACATGTCCACCTCCAGCAGCCTGGGGCAACCTCTCCTTGGTTCCCCATGGCCTCCAGAAAACGAGTTCCCTCCACAGATCATCAGGTCTCACTCCCTGGACAGTCTCCCTCTCTCAAGGAATCCTTCCTTCTCAGGCAGGAGCAGCCTTTCCAGTCCACGGGCCCTTGGTTTCCCCTACTCCTTAGGGGCCCACCCTGTTCCTGACTCCCAGGACCCTGCCCTCTACCCCCACATCTATCTCTGAAGCAGGCACAGCCTGGACCCTGATCGTCTGGACCCAAGTCACACACCCCACAGCCCAGCTGGGTACCCTTGGTCCCACATGTGTCACCAGTGTCCCTGTTATATTCAAGTGCCCAGGGAAATAAGGGTCAACTCCACGCTCACCCCTAAGTAATCAGTCCAAAACTGACCACACCTCAAATACCTAATGTCCAGTTACCCATGGATGGTCAGTGGGGCTGGGGAGGTCAAGGTCAATCAAGAGATTCTGGAGTGGTGCCAGAGATGTGCCTGTAAACCAATTGGTCTTTTTAAGAGCTGTATGTGGGATCTAAGAACCGGGCTGACTATTGTCCTGGAAGGTAGCACAGGATGGGGGGCCTGGGCAATGAAACAAACACACATACACACATATTCACAAACATAAACACACATGAACATCTCTAGGCACACAGGTATTCACAAACTTGCCTGCGTGCAAATACACACACGCACACACACTCTCCTGTGCTATTTAGAATCATGGCCACATGGGCATCCCACTGGGACTGTGCTGGACATTCAGAGGACTCGGTTCTCCAATGGGGACCAGCTCCACATTCCGTGTGGCACAAACAGGCTTCTGACTTCTTCCATGGTGACAGTCTCCAAAGGAGCTGAGCTGGGACACATGGCTTCCTCCAGGACAAACAGTAGCAGGGGACCCAGATGTGATGTGCAGACATGCCTCCTCCCTCTCCCCTCTCCCTCTCCCTCTGGGGGTGGAGGGATCCCTAACTTCCAGTCAAGTGTGCATGCATGCATGGAGGGGCCATCCACCTCATCCTCCTATCGGCCAGACCTGCTTCACGACAGGCCCGCTGGACCTGGGCGCCCAAGGAGCTGCAGCGGGGAATGGGTCGGGTGTGTCAGGAGGGGTTTGTGTGTGGGGCTGTGTCACTGTGTGTTATGTTCGGAAGAGGCACCAGGCTGACCGCCATTGGTAAGTTTCTCCGCTTCTCTCCTCTCTGAGATCCCAAGTGAAATGTGGGGAGATTTTTCCCTTTCCTGTCTAAGGCGAAGGTCTCAGCCTGCCTGGGTGTCTGGAATCTTTGCCCCTCCTCGCCTGGGCTCCTGGGTCAGTGTTGTCACCCATCCTCTCCTGGGGTTCTGGCCTCTCCTGTGGTTCTGTCCTCTGTAGGTCCCAGTTATGGGGCTGCGTTAAACAGTGACAAGAGGCCTCTGACTGAGGATGTGGAGAGATGGGGAAGGAAATGGGAGAAGGAAAAGACAAAGGAAGAATATCCCGTGAGAAGGTGGCCCCACAGTGCTGGGTCGCACTCCCTCCCCCAAGACAGGCAGGACACCATGGACAGGGTGGTGGGTCTCAGAAAACAGGCCCTAAACATGGACCCTTACCAATTCCTCCACTGGAGGAAGACCCCAAAGCAGATGGCCAGGACAAGGACTCCTGGTAGGGACAGTGACTGGGACAGATGCCTGCTTGTCAGGGAAAACCCACTGGAGAGTCAGATCCCCCATGTAACTTCTCACAACATGGAAACTCTTTCGAACATACGCAGTTCCACATTCAACTCAGGGAGTCAAAAAAAAAAAAAAAAGTCCTCAATTGGAAGTCTTTGATCTACTGGAATCCATTCCTCGGGACTGACACCCTCTCTCACCAGGCAGACCAGAGGGGTCTCTGCAGGGAGGTGGGGTGGGGGCTGCAATGATGGCACCAGGGGGATGTGTGGGGAAGAAACCCACTCCCGTGAGAGAGAAGAGCCAGAACCCAGGACAAACAGCTGCCCTGTATGAAGAGACAAGAACAAGGGGAACTGGTAGGGGGCGTTGAGACAGATACCCCCAAGACAGACAGATACCCAGGGTGAGATGTGGTCCTGGACTCCATCCCATCCAGTGTGGAGCGAGCACAGGTATGGTCTGTAGGTGATGGAACATATGAAAAACAGACAGATTCAAGAGGGGGTCTGTGACTCCCCAAGAGTGGGGGGCACTGAAGAGCCTCCCATCTGAGAGGGAGTGTCTCCACTCACCGCTGACCTGACCTCAGTCCAGCAAGTGTTCGGCCTGAGGTCCCTGCCCTGGGCCTTAGTCCCATGCCCACTTCAAGACTGAGGTCAGGGGTTCCCCAGGTGGACACCAGGACTCTGACCCCCGCTCCCCCCATCCACCCCGCAGGTCACCCCAAGGCTGCCCCCTCGGTCACTCTCTTCCCGCCCTCCTCTGAGGAGTTCCAAGCCAACAAGGCCACACTAGTGTGTCTGATCAGTGACTTCTACCCGGGAGCCGTGGAAGTGGCCTGGAAGGCAGATGGCAGCGCTGTCAACGCGGGAGTGGAGACCACCAAACCCTCCAAACAGAGCAACAACAAGTACGCGGCCAGCAGCTACCTGAGCCTGACGGCGGACCAGTGGAGGTCCCACAACAGCTACAGCTACCAGGTCACGCACGAAGGCAGCACCGTGGAGAAGACAGTGGCCCCTGCAGAATGCTCTTAGGCCCCTGACCCTTACCCCAGCCACAGGGGCCTGGAGCTGCAGGATCCCAGGGGAGGGGTCTCTCTCCCCATTCCAAGTCATCCATCCCTTCTCAATAAATATCCTCATTGTCAACCAGAAATCCTGCTCCTTCTCTTTTTTATCTCACATATAATTTGAGGCTTCCCCTGCGTTCTCAGTGTTCGGTGGGGGGAATCCTGGCATCCAGTGGGAAAGTAGCCCTGAGAGAGAGTCTCATAGCCTCCCAGGGTGTCTCCTGATGAAAAAGGCCAGGATAAGAGAAATCTGATCACTGAACACCAGTCCCTCTGCCCTTTCACTCCTCCCGCTTCTCCTCAAAGCACAGCCCCCCTCTCCCTGCCTCCTTCCCGGAAGGAGTTGTCTCTGGCTGGACCTCCAGTTACACACTCTTATCTCTGCCCTAACAGAGATCCTTCACCCACCATCTCTTTTCCCAGCCTGAAAACCCTGCTCCAGGCCTGGAGCCGCTTTGCCCCTGGCCCTTGCCCCTGGCCCTCCTCCCACTGTGCCCAGCTCAGCTCCCACCCACCCTCGCCCCCTCCCTTTCATCCCTGAGAGCCAGACTGTCCAGGACACTCCAGCACCACTGACTTCTCAAGCTCTTAAATGAGGGATCCACCTCAATTTCGCACCTGACAGCAGGTTCAGACATTTAAGAGGAATTGGAGAAAGCCAGGAAGGAAATTCACACAAAAAGCCTACAAGAGGCTCAGGACACTTGCAAAAGACAGGCTCTGAACTCCCTAGGAACTAGCGCAAGGAGACTAATACGCACTTCATCATTTCTCTAAGTTTAAACAAACCCTTTGCTGAAGACAAGGTGGTGCTCTCCATGCTGAGGCCAGGGATCTCTTCACAACTAAAAGTGGGAACATGTTCTCTCCAAGGCCTCAGTAGTAATGGGATTTGAACCTTGAGGCATGCACAGGTTAACTGTCTGGTAGCCCTAAGACACGGTGATTCTCTCAAGTGCGTGAACAGAAAAGTCACTGGCCATCTATGGGAATATCATTTTTGGGAACACTTCTCCATGGGATCCCGGGCCTTCACTGGAAAACCAGGTCTGTCTTCAGGACTTTCTCTGCGAGGTTCCCTGAGTCTGGGGCTCCAGCTGCTCTCTGAGAGGAAGGTGTCAGCGGAGAGAAGACGACCCAGCTCCACCCAGCCCTCCCTGCATGGTCCCTCCTCTGTAGAGTGGGGGCGCCTGCAGGGGTCAGGCCTGGGTCACGATGGGTGAGGCCTAGGGAGGGGGGCCCTTGTGGCATCCTGGGGAGTCTCTCCCACAGCTCCTGTTTGACTTTCCTCTGGTTGTTATCACAAATGACCCCTAAATTAGTGCTTAAAACATCACACATTGATTCTCTCCTAGGTCTGGAGGTCAGAAGTCCAAAATGAGTCCTTGATAGCTAAAATCAGGGTCCCAGCAGGGCAGGCTCCTTCTAGGGACTCTGGGGAGAATTCGTTTCCAGGACTTTTCCAGGTTCTAGAGAACAAACTCAGCTCCTGGCTCCTTCCTCCAACTTCAGAGCCAGAGCTCAGCCTCTTCAAATCTGTCTCCTGCTCTTCTCTCCCTCCTTACCTTCCTCTCTCACTCTCTTCCTTCCTCTCTCTCCATCCCCACATCTCTCTCACTCGGACCCTCCTGCCTCCCTCTTTCTTTTATAAAGACCCCAGCTTGGACCCACCTGGATAACCCAGAATCATTTCCCACCTCAGACTCCTTAACGCCATCACATCTGCAAAGTCCCTGTGGTCACACAACATGACACATAGACAGGTCCAGGACTGGGACATGACTGTCCCCGGGGGGCCTAATTCAGATGACCACAGCTCCTTTCCCGAGTTCCTCTTCCTTTCTCTGTGCCCTGCCCAGTCCAGACTGAGCGACTCCTGGACGCTGTCCCAGTCCAGCCCCAGCCCAGCCCCAGCCCTTCCTGTCCCTGGTCTTTTGTGGCCCCTTCTCCGCCTGGGGTTCCAGAAGACACTGGGAGTTTAGCCACAGCTCCAGGGCACTGTCTTCCAG